TTTTCTCAGTCTGGTTGTCCTGCATTTGATGCTCCGCAGCCTCCTGCCTGACGGTAGCGGGACAAAAAGTGAGTGTGCTGGGTGAGTGGGGTCCTTCATGATGCAGGAGACCCTTTTCCTGCATCTGGAGGTGTAGATGTCTGTGGTGGTGGGGAGGTTGACTCCAACAGTCCTCTGTGCAGCCTTCACTACTCTCTGCAGAGCTTTCCTGTCTGCAGCAGAGCGGCTGCCGTACCACACGTTGATGCTGGAGCACAGCAAGCTCTCCACCACACATCTGTAGAAGGAGATGAGGACTGAGCTCCCCAGTCCTGCACGCTTCAGCCGCCTGAGGAAGTAGAGCCGCTGATTCGCCTTCTTGACCAGAGCGGAAGTGTTGTTGCTCCAGGTGAGGTTGTTGCTCAGGTGCACACCCAAGTACCTGTAGCTGGAGACAACTTCCACTGCAGATCCTCCGACGAGCAGGGGGAGGTGGGCGTGTCTGCTCCGTCTGAAGTCCACAATCATCTCCTTCGTCTTCTTCATGTTGATGCAGAGGTTGTTTTCTCTTCACCAGCCCTCCAGGTGTTCCACCTCCATGCTGCGATCGTTCCGAGCACAGTAACCGAGATAACTGCTGAGTTTAAATTGCACGCACAACTGAGCCGGACCAGCACGGTTCAGTTCTGGCTCGGTTCTCAGATAACTAAGAGCGCATGAACAGACCCCCTCCTTACAGTCAGCCTCCATAATTATGAAATTTTAGACATTCATTAAAATACAAGCTTCTCAACCGTGCCACACAATTTCGAGTGAGGATTCTGCTTAGCAGTGTGATGAGCCTCAATGTCTGTTGTTGTTTCCTACGTCTGTAAGCCCTGATTAGACTATCGTTTTTGTATCCACTTCCCAGGAGCCAAGTCTGTCAAGCAAAATCACCAAAGGCTGCCTTTTTCTTTCTCTGCAAAGAACAAAATATCACAATGATAACAAAACATAACTTCATTAATGTAATGGGCACCGCCATGTTGGGTTGCTTGTAGTGCTGGTGAGATGAAGCCTCATGAGGCATTGAACCGTTTGGCCAAATTGCTTCAACGATCCCCACAGTTCATAGCCTGGGTGCCATTCCGAACTTAGTCCCGCCCACAACGTTTGAGGTCGGTTGCTCAATAGTAGCGCGAGTATGCTCGCACAATATCTGGCGGGCCAATCAAATTGTCAGGGCGGGCTTTATACGATGATGGACAGATGATCAACAGTAACGTAATCAACCACGTCACCAAAGCGCGCTTGGGTGACAACAACAATGGCTGCCGCTGGAGAGTTGAGGTGTGTAGATTCTGCTATTAGGTCTGTTCTAGAAGATATCGACAGCAAATTAATTTTAAAAGAGGAACAGAGAAACGCGATCAAGGCTCATCTTCTTATTCTAGGCGTGCAACTGCACGCTTTGATTTTTGTTGACAACAACTATGCGCCGCTTAACATACGTCACGCACTCCGTTGCTCTTATTGGTTGTAGGTCTATCCAATTGAGTGTAGAGGCATTTTTTTTCCTGGTTCGTTCGAAACACGCCCCATAATCACAGCTCTATGGAGCAGTATCAGACTCATATTCTGACTAGAATTGAGTAGGACTAAGTCAGGCTACACAGTTCATGAGGCTTCATGTGAACATGTCACCACCTACTGGTGGAGGGCAGAACTACAGTTTGTAATAAAATCTGTGATTTCTTTGCAATCGTTTTTCTTTTTTTTTTACTCCTTTTAAGTTCCTTTGAAATTGTTAATGGTTGGTGTGTATAATGAAATCCTTTGTAAGTTTTTTTTTTAAGTGTAAAATTTCTTAGAATAATCATTTAAGGTGCACAGTTTTCTGCCATTTTAGTGAAATAAACTCAAGCAGACAGTGAAAGTGTTTGTGCAAATTGGGTAATGATGAACAAAATGAAAGACGTTAGTCATTTTTATTCAAACATGATAGTTTTTCCACGTTTTTTTTGGTTTTAATCAGGTTGGAAGTTGTGTTCAACCAATCTTTTGGCTAAACCAACCTAATTTACCCAATCTATATTTTACTCAGGCAAAACAATGCAAATTTGTCTCATCAGCCAAAAGAATTAAGTTTAATCGCAACTTTCAAAAGTCAAAGACAGGTTTTGAACATCAACCTCTAGCGTGAGAGTCTGAGTTTTACAATTGAAGCCACTTATAAAGACATTGATACCACGGAGAAAACACTAGTTAATAGTGACGTGTTCACACTAACTTTGTCTGGTGGTTTGCTCAGATTTTGATCATTACATTGTTTATTCTCACCAAAATAGTTTTACACAACTAGATTAGTTGTTTTTCCAACCAATTTATTCTTAGAATCTTTCCGAACTTTATCCAGCTGACAGCAGCTCTCCTCCAAACTCCCACATCTTGACTGAACACTGAGGCTGTTTAGATACCTTTCAAAATTCTTGCGCTTCCCGAACCACTTCCCGAAGCAGTCACGTGGTATCACGGTAGCGAGGCTTCGGACGTCATCAATTTTGGCCCCTCCTCTAAATGAATCACGCCTCGACAAGCGCTTCGTGGAAACGCCCCATCCATTACTCGATACATGCCTCGAAGCCTCGCGGTTCATGTCATAACATCACTAGTTGCTTGTTTACCTCTAGAGAGCAGTAGTATCATAGATGGTCACTAGGAGGTGAAGAGCCGCGCTAGCGTGGTGTACAAATGGTTGCAAGGAACCAAGCTCGGCACTGCATGCTCACTTTTTTGAAGAAGTCTCTTTGTGAAAAGAGAACAAGCCATCAATAAACAGAGGGGGAGGGTCGTGGTTTCAGCTTCCAAGCATCTACAACTCAGTCATGGAACTCACTCTGCATAAATTACATAAGCACTTTCAACATGATTCAAAAGGCCAATGGCATATTCCATGCACAACAACAGACTCCAACAAGTCAGAAGAAATGGATTTGGCTATTTGATTTGCATCTGACTTGGAAAGTGCTTATGAGGATGGACCTCTACTGCTTGAATACATCCGTGCTCCAACTACATAATTGCTCTGGTCTGAGTCAACAGAATTGATAAAGATTTCTGGATAAGTGTGGAAATGTCTTTAAATTAACTGAGCAAAAATCTGTTTGCCTTCAAATTTAAACCTGTTTTTTGGTCCCTTAAGTTAATGAAAAGAATTCTCTTATTGCAAGTGAAAACTAAGGGTTTTTCATTGATCCTTGGTAGTCAAAATGTCCATATTCTAATTCGTAAATTTCATCTGGAATACCTCTGAAAGTTAGAAAGGCAGTACAACAGGATGGATGGCTGCCACTCAATAACATTTAAAGGGCAGGTTGCTATGTTGGCTGTTTTGTAGCATTTTTTAACTGTAAAATTGCCTGCAAGCTGAATTCTTGTTGTATTTTTTGTGTTAACAAACACATGAGAATCCATCTCGCTCCGCTCTAGCTTAAACCTTTTGAGTCTGACCTATAACAGGCGAGCCAATCAAGTTGCGGTATTAAAACACAAGTTGTGATTAAGTTCGGCATCTATTCTTTGGAGTGAACTATACAGCATGTGTGCGTACGCTGAGCCGAGGGGGGCGATGACAGTCGGAGAACACTGGAGCTGTTTGAATCTATAGTTGAACCCTTCCGGCCTCCTTATTTTCACGCCCTCCGAAGGACGCCCCCTACCTGGATGTTAGGTTTATTCAATGATGATTATAAAATTAATGTGTGCTTATGAAACATTTTTGCAAGGGGATGCTCCACTGCTGTCTCATGATCCAGTCAGGAGACCATCCTGCCTTGTCATTCTGATGGAGCATTCTGTCTTCATGAACTGATCAATTGTTCTGTCAGAACAAATACTATTTTGTAACCAAGTGTTATGTTCTGTTAATAAAAGACGGCTGCAGGAGGGGATTCGGAGAAGGAAAGCTTGAAGTTGGGTTGGGCTTTTCCTTCCGCTCCTGCAGAAGCTGCTTGAATCTCTTTCCTGTGTAGACTCAATTTCTATTTATTTATTCTGGACTTGGTCTTTCGAAGGACGGAGTCACTGAAATCGAACACAGCCTTAATTTGGTCGTTCTTAAAGCAGGCGGCCATATTTTTTTTCAATACCCATATTCACCAAATACACGCTACTTCTTGGGCTAAATGACCGGTACCGCTCCAACCCAATATTGGCATTGATTCCTGAAACTTTTTGGCAGTTGGTGCTTCCTGTTTTTAAATTGATATATTTGTCTTTATTTTATTTGTTTCTTTCTCAAGGATGTGATATGTTGATCGCAGTACGTCTGATCATACATGGAGAAATTCTCAGCTGTCGGACTGAGTCGTCTTCTGTGTCGCTGGCCCGGAATTGATTCAAGATCTGAAACATGAACTCATTTAATGTTCTCCAACTTTCCATGTTGGGATGATCCAGCAGCAGCTCTGATCCTGAAACCAGTCCACGTTTTACAGTGAAACACTTCCAGGCTGATGTGTGGATGATGTTGTTCAGCTCCTGCTGGTGAAAGGTCACACGTGCAGAGTCATTATGTTAGTGGGGGGGAAGTGAGAGGCCCGCTGCAGCTCTGGATCAGTGCTGCTTAATATTCAGCTTTTTGGCAGGATCTTCACAGCTAATGTTCAGTAATCTGACTTGGATCGAGCTCCTCGTTGGCTCCCTGCTCTGCATCAGATTACATGTTTGAGTTTTCCATTACGCTCGTTACCTTCTTGTACTTCAGCCCTGCTTGTTTTCTCTCCTGAAACTAAACAAAAAGGACCAACGCGGCGCTACAGCAGTCAGACCCCCCCAAACTGAGTGGGTGATGAAGGTGTGTGTAAGTCCTGTAGAGGAATGTCCTTCCCTTATTGCCATAGTCCTGTGCCAGAAGCAGCCGATTTCTGTTTACTGCAGCTCAGAGGAGCACGAACCAAAAAGGGAGGCTGGATCCCTCCCCCTCTGTCTCTCCCTCCCTCCCTCCTCGCCTTGTCCTCTCCGTCACAGCCTGTGCAGCCTTCCCTCCTTGCCTGTGTGGGATACCACAGCGGTGATGGGATAACACATGACTCAGGAGCGTGCAGCGCAGTGCAGCGTGCGAGGAGGTGGAGGACCGATTGTCCCAGTGCTTCCAAGTCCGACCTGCTGAAGGAATCTTTTCTCCATGGATCTCTTTTAGGTGTTTTTTGTTGTTTTTGTGGTTTTGCTGTTTTCAGCCCTGCAGCCTCAGAGGGAGCTGGAAGAGTAAGTTATGACTGCGGCAATAGTTACGCTGTGTTCTCTTGTGTGTGGGTGGGTGTGTGTTTTCTGGTCCAGAGGTGTCTTGCAAAGTATTTTAGTGGAACAGTCCTCGGGTTCCTTTAGAAAGGAACACATCTCATTTCTATTAGAGGGCCTACAGATATTCATGTGTGAAGCTCCTGTTATTGTTGTTCAGGTGCTGCTACACTCTTAGTGTTTCGATGTTAAATCTAAAGAAGACGCTGGGGATGGAGCTTCTGTGGCGTCGTTCTAAGAACTCAGTTTCACTCCGGGTTTACACCTGATCTTATCGTTGGGCCTCCCTGTGACACAGCATCATGCTGCCACCACCATGTTTCACCGTGGGGAAAGGACCCCTTAAAACCTGAATATGTCAACATGGGGGGAAAAATGTGGGTGTTATTGCCTTTTAAGTTTTTGCCAAATATATGTTTTGAAGTTTCTGTTTACTTGATATATTTAAAAATGTTGGGATATTACATCATGGATCAGTTGTACCAGAAATAAATGCTGCCATTGGGAAGATGCACCACAGTCTTGACAGATAAGCATTAATGGGTTAATCTGGTATGGAGGACATCAGGTCATGGAAGATTCAAAGCCGTATTTGTCCCAATCTTCTGGCAAACGCGTCTCCAGAGGTTATCTTTGACCGATTTCTGTTTTTAGTAGGACAGAAGACAGGTTAATCCAGCAGCTATTAACCTCCTTCTTCCTCTGCCAGGCCTTTTATAAAATGGAGTTTTCACTATTTTGGTGTGAAACGTCTGAGGATAAGCATTCCATGGTGAGATTGCCTCCACTGACCTGCTGCAGGGTGGACTCATGAGATTTGCTGTTACCGGAGATGCCTGACCAATCAGCTGTGGGGGGTCCAGGCGTAGATCTGCAGCATCATGGAGATAACATAACTGTGCTCATATTAAGGCTGAAATTTATCGGATTAATTGTGATTAATCGATTATTGAAATAATCGTCAACCAATTTAGCAATCGATTAATTCTTAACTGGGTATAGAAACTCTTAGGTGACAGAGCGACCCACTTAGAGCAGTAACTATAGCAGGTTATGTATAAAAATATTCTGCATTTAAGATAAAGCAAAAAAATTACGACTGTCAATATGCTCTAACCAGAACTCCTCAACTGGAAAAAGTTTGAGTTTCACCTGGTGTTATTTCATAAAATGATTTCTTCAAAGAATCTTCGGCTATCCGATTATTAATCGATTAATAAAAAAAACAATCGACAGATTAATCAATTTGCTAAATAATCGTTGGTTGCAGAGCTAGTTCATACGTTGCTGTTGAAACTCAAAACATACCCAGTTTGGATTAGCACTCTACCAATCAGCTCGACTTCTCCCTCCAGAAACTTCAACATTAACTCTGAGTTTTTTAGTATTTTCTCCATTAATGGATTTTGCTGGCATTTTCTGAAGGGGACTAAAAGGTTCTCTTTGAATCACGCTGTAAAATAATCTGACCTACAGTAAACTGTGCAATAAGTAAACAAGGCCTGAAAGATGCAGTCTAACATGGGGACTTGTATGATGACGATGGGGTTTTACAGGCTGCTGGATCAGGAGTCAGGATCCTCAAGGATCCAGGTCATTTTAATTATATCTAACCTCTGCATGACTCTAGGAGAGGAAATCCAGCAGGAAGAAGCAGCTGGTACTTATGCAGCATCCTTCCATCCTCTCTCTTGATGACGAATCAGTTTTGTCGCCATGGTAACCATTTGTCAGAGCCGCCGTCTAGGAACTTTCCTGCGTCATGTCACGGAGCTGCAGAGGCCGTGCTGCTGTGATGCGTGCAGGAGATGTAGCGTGTCGGAGCTCCCTGATGGCTGCGTGCCCACCTGAAATATAAAACGGGAGCTCCTGTCCTCCACCAATTAATCAGCGGGATCAACTGGGAGTCAGCTGAGGGTTTAAGGGATTTACCTTCTACATCTGGGATCGTTTTATGTCTTACTGCCGGATAAGATCACAGATTTTCTCTGGTTCATTATGCAGCTTCATAAAATTGTAAGGTGAGAGTGTTTGGGAACCTGATCCAGCTGAGGGGAAACTGAGCTCTCCTGCTGTCAGGTGGGTTCGGTTTTGGATCTGATGGCTCTAAAGAGCTGATGCGGATGAGGTGGATAAAGCTCTTTGATGGTTCTCAGCTTCTGTATAAAGGTTTTTTTCTGATGATCCTGTGTCCAATTCAGCAAAGTTTGACTCTTTGGGCTAAAAGTCTTCAATGATTTTAGTCCTCCTTGTTCTGGTGTATGTAAATTGGTGTTTTAGTCTGTCTGTTCACCTCCTGAATCCCATAATAATCCCTATCAAACTGGTCAGGGCTGACCCAGTTTACCCCAACCAGTCAGGGGTTCAGGCCCCTGTTTAAGTAACATACCTATTATTGTACCCCATTATTAGCTCAATTTGCAACATGTTGACATATGAAAGTGGCTTTGTCCATTCAAGGAACTCCATGACTTCCCAATCTGCTGGTCCTAAGCACACTGTTACCAACTCTTCAACAAGAAAAATCACTATTGTGTCCAGTCCGGTGCACGGATGTCGTCATACACACTCCGCTTTGTTTAAAAAAATATAAAATATATAACCGCGGATGTCTGGGGAACAGTGATTCGACCACGTTATGGATGCTGGAGTACCATAGAGAATAAATTATGAACAGTTTAGTTTGTGCCTTCAAGTCGTTGCACGTAGGAAGACGTTACTTGGATATAACCTAGCCGAATGTCTTCGGAACGGCTCCAAATGACACAAAACTCAAATGGGTGAGTAGAACATGATGTAATAACGTAAAATCAAGGGCCCAATGTAAAAAAAAAAAACGGCGTTCCCCTTTAAGGCTCACAAGTTTGTTTCCATTACTGTAATAAAAAATGGCGACGCAACATGACGTCTTCCATTCAGTGTCCTGTTGGTTTGTAGTTTTCTGACCCACATGTAGAACCAGTGAGTTTTAACTTTTGTTTTTGTACAGAAAGCAAAAACAATCTGGAAGCTAAGAACTGCAGGAAGTCTGTTGGCCTTTGTGGCTGTTCTGAGGAGAGGAAGCAGACTGATCCGGAAGGAGTTGGTTCATGACTATTGATGACTGATTGATTTGCTTACTTGAGAGATGGAGGGGAGTTAGCATGGATCTGTAGAGGTTTGGTTTGTAGACTGAACTCCAGAGGTCCAGGAGAATGTGAGTGAGATCCGAGAGTGTTGGTACTTTATCTAAAAACAGGTTTGTTTGTTTGGCTTCACTTAGTACCAAGTTTACCTTCAAAGGGACAAATAAAGTATTTTTCTCATAGATAGCCTCACAGCAAAATGGAGGAAAAAAGGAGCTCTGGTGGTTCTGTTTCCCTGTCATGTTTCTGCTTCATTCATCTGAGCTGAACTTGTTCGACAGGCGTGTCTTAATGCATAGCAGGGTTCCTTCTCTCCCATCGGTCCTGAAACGCTGCCAGAGGCGGATTCTAACAGGACGGGATAAGCTGTTTGATTCAGTTGGAGAAACTCAAGTGTCACAGAAATTAAGCAGCCAAGTCTGCCTGGAATTTAGGACGCTCTCATGAAGCTCGTCTCTCTGCCTGGTCTGGTTTGATGGGTGAAAGTGGAACCCGACTCAAGGCCTGGTTCTGGATTGATGGCTTAGTATTTGGGAAATTCTGTGATAAATTTTCACCAGAAAAGGAGATAACAAAATGGTTTCATACAAATCATTAATTTTAGGAAGTTTTAGCTTCAAAATTGAACAAATTGATATTTTCAGTCAAAACTAAAACCCCCAAATTGTCCCCATTATCACAGTTTTCATCTCATCATGCCTTAGTTCATGTCCCTGTTCCACACCTGAGCCTATTAGGTGGTCTGCCTCTGGACCACGCCTCAGCTGGGCAGCCAGCGGTCATTTTCCATGTTCTAGTCTCATTTAGAGCTCATATGATTTGATCCGTGTCTGTTTCTAGCAAAACATAGAGTCCAGCAGGTCGTGCTGCTCAGCAGAGTTGTTTAAATATGTAATTTGTTGTCTTAATTTGACTCAGGGTAATGGTTCCCTAGCTTTCTGAAATGGAAAAGCCAGGGAATACAGGAGTTACCCCAGAACCTACTCTGTATTGCCACCAACCCAGCTTTGTGAAATGGGGGCCTCTGAATGATCCGAGTCTGGAGGAAACTCTGCCCAGAGACTTTGAGCTTAGAAATGCTGTTTGGTCAGATTTCTTTCCGCACTGACATCCTTTCTCACAGTAAGCACAGTTTGACTGCTGACTGTGAAGCAGCCAGAGTGAGAAACTGCCCCTTTAAGTCCAGCTCTCCACTGGAACAAGGTGAAAAGCTCCCTCTGGAATAGAAGTGAGGCTCTGTCTAAGGGGAGGGAGTTTAAGCATCTCTGTGTTCATTTACGAGAGATGGACAGATGGATTAGGACCTTGTTTGGAGTGTAAGAATAGAGAAACCAAAGCTCCGTTAAGGTTGTTTGTATGGTGACCAAAGAATGCCAAACCGATGAAATTGTTTGACTTCACAACAAATTCAAAAACTCCTGCAAACACAAAAAATGCGACAGAAATAAAATGCATAAAAAGGAAAACTGCTGCAATGCAGAAATGCTGTAGTCACAGAATATGGAGGATGCTAAATTAAAATGTGCTGCAAACACATACATGCTAACGCACAAACCTTAGGCAAAGGAAAAAGGCAGCAGGTTAAGAAAAGCTGCAGACCAGTGGTATGTAAAGTGCTCCCCCATGTGGGTTGATTGTTTAAACCAGAAATACCCACAAGATCGAGCTCTCCACAAAACACGATTTTGATCCTCCCCCTGTATTGACATCAATCCTGGGCGGGTGTTGACGTTATTCCCTCTTTCTATCACCCCTCCCGTCTCTGTTACACCAAAGGGGGACATTTCCCCCAATCAGGGACTCGCCTGAAGTCAGTAAGTGTTGCTGCTTCTGTAACTTTTTAGAGATAGAATGATGAAAAGTTGTCCCTTTGTCCTCCAGCAGTCTAAGCCTATAGCAGCATAACTATAGAGACAGGTCTTGAAAAGTTCCAAGATGTTGATTAAATCAAAACCTTGAAAAGATGACTGTCACTGAATGTTTAGTAACCTTCTTAGTTCTGACTAACACCTGGACCAAGTTCCAACAGATTTCTGTTAATCTGTTTCAATTTGAACTATAGATAGACCGATACATTCTGTCATTTCTGTATTAAACTTGCTGTTTTGCTTTTTTTTTAGTATCACTGATATGTGTATTCGTTTGGCTATTTATTTTCACATGCAATGCCGCTCCCCCCATTTTCTATCCTGATTATTTTGTTTTTTTTCAAATACATGTTTTCTCTATATCAAAACTTGTGTGAAATCTATAAGTTTATTGTTTTAATGATGTAAATGGAAAGGAGAAAACAACATTAATTCAAACAATCTGCCAGAAAATATCAAATCAAATCAAATTTATTTGTATAGCCCTTTACAATAGCTAAATTGTATCCAAAGTGCTTTACAACAAAGCCATAAAAACAATACATAACACATATAAAAACATACAAGATACAATTAAAAGTGCTGTAGTGGTGCAGCGCTGCAGGACATTAAAAGCCTTCCAGATGTGCATAGAAAGGAGCACACAGAAAGATGACATCTAAGAGACAGTATTATAGTCAGAATTAAAAGCTCAATTAAAAAAGTGGGTTTTAAGCTTTTTTTTTTTTAAAAAGGCTGAGGTCAGTAGTGGTGCGGATGTCAGGGGGTAGTTTGTTCCACAGTCTGGGAGCAGCGACGGCAAAAGAACGATCGCCCCACTGTTTGAGTCTTGACCTAGGGACCTCTAACAGAAGCTGACCCGAGGAGCGTAAAGCTCTGCCACAATTGTGGAAAGTTAAAATCTCAGACAAGTAAGAGGAAATATCTGCAACCAAACTGCATCTGCCTTTAAAAAAACTTGTCGCCCTCTGGTTTAGTTTGGAGGCAGATTTTCCAACTCCTTTTGTCCTTTGGAAATTGTATTGACTCACAATTTCGGAAAACATATTTACTGAAAGGGCTAAACATGTTGTTCCAAATGTTTCTGAAAACATAACGATCAATAACTGTGTTGGTGACCTTTTAAAGTTTCACTCTTTTCCCTACTCTTCATTTCTCTCTACCTGAAAGCGAGTCGTCTCCATTGCTCGCCGAGGGGCCCCGCCGTCGTTAACGAATAATAGATGAAAGTGCCCGTCCCGGATCCGATGGCCTTTATTTAGCTGCTCCGTTTCCCTGACCCACATACATTTACAAACTCAGACTGAAGAGCAGACTCCCAGCAGCTGTTTCTCTGAACCTCTGAGATTGATTCTGGACTTTAAGTCTCTTACTGTAACAAACAGCAGAGCCTGTAGGAGATGAAGATGCTTGATATGAATTTACTGTGTCTAGAAGTTTAATTTTAGTTTGGCTTTTTCATTCTTTTGTAACTGCATCAACACATACAGCCTGCAGGGGGCAGCATTTTTCAGTTCGAATCAAACTCAGCAACTCGGGAGTGTCTGTCAGACACTTCGTACTAGGAAGAGAGATCTTTACTTTTTAGAAAGCGAGCAGATTTTATGACTTTTTCTCTTTCATTTTTTCAATTTGTTTTTTCTCTTTTCAGTTTTTTTTCCCCCCAAGTTTATCATTTTCTGTCTTCCAGTGGAAGATCTGGTTTAGAGTTCCTGGTTCTGATGCTGTCACAACAGGGAACACTAATCATGTTCTGTCTCTGTTCTCACAGCTTTGGCGGCGTTCTCACCTGCCAACTCCTGAACATGTTGAACCTTCATGCTTGAAGCCAGAAGTCTGTTACCTTTCTATGGTGATGAGCTGAAACCTTCTGGTGAAAAACTGCTGGATGTTTCTTCAATGCTTGAACTAAAGTGGATGCAACCATGTGAGAAAAAAGAATTAATCTAAAATGTCAGATTTTAGAAGATAAAAGAAGGACCACTTTTGGAGAAATTTTTAACCTCCTCATTCCAAAACCGGGAGATGAGTGTTTCTGAAACGCCCCAGAGCTTCTCTGCGAGGAAGAGCAGCTGCAGCATGAAGCTACCTCTTCATCGTTCCGGAGACCGAGACGGGAATGCTTTCCCGGTGTCCTCTTCCTCCTCCTCGTCCTCCTTCCTGGGGGAGTCGTCTCCAGAGTCCCTGCGGAGTCTGAGCAGCCTGAGTGGAGGACGGATGGACAGCCCGCAGGAGTACGACCTCCTGGAGGTCACCCTGATGACTGCCGTGTTGCCTGGGGAGAAGAACAAAGATGTGGTGCTGTCCAAATGGTCTCCTGAGGAGGAGGAGGAGGATGATGATGAGGAAGGGACGTTCCAAACCGAATCCGACGACGTCTCGGTCTCTGTTTACCTGGATGCCAGCAGTGGTGATTACCACCAGCAAACCTGGAACCACGGCCTCACGCTGTCCCTGGAGGCACAGGATGGTTGCCATTTTAACGAGGATGTAACCACTGGCTCATCTATTGTGGATTCAGATGCTACAGAGATCCCTGCTGATGATGATGATGATGATGAGGAGGCGGCTATGTTTTTGTCCGTCAGCTCAGACGTTTGTACAAGGCTCGCTCAGGTGAGTCCAGGTGGAGCTGCTGATGATGAGCTTGGGTCGGAACAATTGCAAACTGGCTTAGATTGTCCCGCTCCATCCCTGGGCTGCAGAGAAAACGCCCAGATATGTGGGTCCCTGCCGCCCTCCGATAGTCCAGACAAAGATCTAGCAGATGTCACCGAAATCGCTGGAACTCAAATCATCACTCAAATCAAGAAAGCTCCCAAACCGCTCAAAGCTAGAACTGGATCACACAATATGTCCCCATCCAAAGCACCCCCTCAGGTACTCTCTGGCATTTTAACCTTTTCCCCAACCTTTTTTTTTTCTATCTGCTTTAAAGCCTCCATTTTTTTCTCTCTCACCAGAACAAACCAGTGGCGGTTTCTACGAGGAGAGCTGTTCCTAGAAAGGATGAGGTGGAGGCCATCAAGAAATCGGCTCCAGGTCCGATTAAGGTGGCTGTGATTCTAAGATCCACCAGAGGAAAGGGTGCAAATGTCAAAGCCAACCACAAGGTGGCAGCAGGTTCAAACACTGCTCATCCAGAAAAGAAAAAAACAGCCTCAATCGGACTGTGTGATCCTCCTTGGAACGCTGGCCGGGATCTGCAGGAAGGATTGGAGGGAAAAGGTCAATCAGCGGCGAGGGAGAAGGAGCTCCTGAGCCAGGCGTCGATGACGGACGCCACAGAGGAGCAACGGAGGAGTCCCACTAAGGTGAGCTGGTTTATAGTCATTGGAAAACTAAGCTGCAGTGAATCTAAGCATTTAATTCTGGCTTGAGTCATGACCTTTAACCTTGGGTTTTGGTCATTTCTCTGATTTTCTCGCTTCAACCTTGGGTCATATCTGTTGGCGTGTCCACTGCTGGGAAGATCAGCAGCTGTTTCCTATGAATTCAGATTACTGTCAATAAAACTGTATGCAAAGGTTTCTGAAATGGTCAACATGAATACATTTAAGATTTACATTTGTTTATTGTTATCAACTTTTAGAAGTACAAAAACAAATGAATAAGGGTGACTCTATGACCCCTTAGAAAGCTGTTCCACTACTTACCAGCTGGTGGCAGTATTGCAACTGAGGGTTATTCTCCAACCGCCGTTAAACAATTAGAGGTAAGAATCTTCAATCAAACGTTCTATGGCTGTGTCCGAATGTCCACCTTAACCACTATGTGTCCTATATAGGGCACAATACACTGGTTACGCCATTTTAGTGCCTTGAAAAGTAGTGATCATCCATGGTCACTGGACAAGCAGATAAATCCCAGAATGCTTTGCGAGGAGAGCTCTCCTTGTAAAGCATCATGGGATTTGTTGTCACAGCGGCCGGTCGTTACCCGACAGCGGCGACAAATAAAGACGGCGCAGGCACAGGGAGGCGGAGTTACATGACCAACGGGGAGTAATGCAAAGTAGCACAATGCGACACTACAACGGCAATAACTTGTGCAATGTATAATATGCAACGACTATTTAATACCCTGTGCAATAAACAGTTTTTCTATATTTGACACCCAGTGCAATAACTATATATGTAAATATAAATATCCATATATACAAATACCCTTGTATACACACTGTGCAATAAACCTGTTTAAGGATCCTACTATAAAAAAAAAACTGTCATATGTGGAAGCACTATATATACTGTATTTATCCCATGCACCTTTTTCTTCCTTTGGCACAAGATATATAGCCTCGTGAGACCATCCTGATCTCGCAAGCTTTCAAGATTTCACTTGCTGATCAGTCTGGAGACTCTCCGTTGAAGAAAATTTGGAGCCGTTCACCAAACGAACGTCTAATCAGCGTTGGCTTTGAGGCGGGTTGAGGTGTGACGCAACGAGAAGCACGACAGTTCAGTCTAAAGAACATGGCGGCTTCAGCCGATGAAACTAGCGTTAGCGTGGCTATCGAGCAAGTTTTATCGGAATTACAGAGCATTTCTTCACTGAAAGAAGAGCAAAACACTGCTCTAGAGGCTTTTCTCAGAGAAATTTTCCCAAAATTACTTCAACCGAAGGTTTCCAGATGGATATGCGGAGCAAATCCATCTGGCGGAGTCAGGTTACAAGATATAAGTAAACCTAAACAATGTATATATAAAAAATATATCTGCAAGATATATTTAATAGATATATTCAACAACAAAAAATACTTAGTTAAGCAAATTGTGTAAAATAGCAATTAAAAAATAAAAATCATATATTTATAGTCCCCACACTGCAGATATATTAGGACCTGTCCTTAAATATCAGCCGAACCCATTTACACAGTAACAAAAAATACGATTTTGACAAATCAAACATCCGCCACATACCTGACTCAATAGCTATATAAAAAAAAAAACTATTTTCACTAGTTTTAGACGGATATGTTCACACACTTGTATAAGGAGAAACTGCACTTCTGGTAATCACCACTGTTCTGTGCCAAGTACATTTTTCCTCTGATCACGGAGCAGCCAGATTGCTTGGACTCGCAATAAATTGAGGGATATGCAAGGCTATGTAGGACACACCGTATCTGTCCTTTAAATCCGGATAAAAGAAGGATGCATTCATATATATATATATATATATATATATATATATATATATATATATATATATATATATATTGTTTTATAGTTTTACAAGTGATGTGGAGAACAGGTAAAATGACAAAATACCAGTTCTTGAAACACTCAGTGACCTCTAGGCATTAGGCCAGGGTTCCTTTATGGAACTAGAATCAACCAGTTCATCATTATAAGGAATCACAAACTACGATCTCTTCATCGGGATTGTTTTCACTTTTCTGCAGGAAGGAGAGACACATTGATGAACTCAAGGGGGGAAGGCAGTAGCCACTTATTGATCGCAGTAAATTTAAAGAGAATGTCTGGTGTGAATCGAAAGATAAATGGTGAAAAATTAAACAATTTTTGATAGGGATGCACGATATTGGGATTTTGGCCGATATCCGATATGCTGATATTTTAAAACTCATGTAGCCGATAACCGATATCGATACTGATGTTAAAGATGGACAAAAATAAGTAGTCATTGAAAATAGCAGTTTTGTCCATTTCTGACAAAATAATAAAATCAAATATATTTTCATATGCTGATATCAAATTGATTTTTAAAAACGCGGTGTCGATCTATTTTACTTTCAAAATCTCGTGAAATTTCATCGTTCTGTTACAAACTCTCGTGATATTTTGCAAATTCTTGTGAGATTTTGTTAGTAAAATAGATTGATACCGCGTCAATATATCAACATATAAAAATATGGCAAAATTTCGTGAATTTTCGGGGGATTTCGTAGCATAACGATGACATATAGCAATATTTCATTAGTAAAAGAGATTTATATGGTGTTTTTAAATGGCAATATATCAACATATGAAGATATTGTGATATTTTAATGTATCAATATTTTTTCCCTTGTCATTAGAAGTTTTTAAGTCTGTAAAAAAGAAGTTTTTGAGGAAGAAGAAGAAGTAGTATTTTTTATTTATTTTTTTAGACTTTAGAAACTCAGAAGCTGATCAAATATCGGGTTAAATATCAGTGGGGTGGCCGATGTCCGATATTCAGTTTTAAGGCCGATACCGATAGGGGCCGATTATATTGTGCATCCCTTAATTTTGATCCTGAACCACTTTATGGCTTTGTGATATTTACAGGAGATTATTTGACCCCAGAAAGATGCTGTCAGGAGATTTAGTTTCATATATTAATCTCAGCTCAGCAGCTGAGGTGATTTTTGGATCTTCTGCTTTGTAGAAGCCAACAGACGACAGTCTAACCCTGGAATCAACCATTTGAGAGGTGGGTCTGGGGAATGTGTGTTTTTTAAAGGGCTGTTGGGCCAGTAGGAACTCCCAGACCTGCCTCAGCGGGTTCCCTCACAGGCCGCCTCAGGCCTCTGAACCATTCAGCCCAGATGGGCTGAAGGCTGGAACCATCGTTCCATCGTTTCTCCTCCCAAGCAGAGAGACTGTTATCCAGATGTTTGGAGGGTTTTTCTATGGATTAAAGCTGCATTTTCTCAACACCTGGAGGCAGAAATCTGTAGGATTGTGGACAGTGTTTTCCCTGTAATCAGAAGCAAACGGCCCAGTTTAAGGAGCCGAGGTGCTGGGCTCAGGACGTGCAGCTCTCTCCCTTATCTCATCAGATAAAGGCTGCTGCACGTGCCCGCTCAGAGCCGTCTGTCAGGAGCTGCCAGGGAGCATGTTAACACAGGATTGAGTGTGTTGGGATGACCCAGTAATCTGAGGAACTCTGGCTCCGATCTTCCCCAAAGTTCGTGTCCATGGGAGGGATTTGGGTGGAGGGGCATCAGGAGCCATAGAGAAGGAACTTTTTTCCCGACTTTACCGCCGTTAGAAGAGACGGATGCCAGACCTCCTAACTCTGTCCATGTGTGTTTATAGAGTCAGGTCGGGGGGTGGGGAAACAGCCGAGAGGGAAAAGTGTTGGGCCTGCTCCGAGCCGGGATTCCTTGGGGGAAACTTAAACACTGCAAATTTTTTTTTTCACTCTTCTTGTAGTTTCTGCACACTCCCAGTTTTCCTCCTCCCCCCTCAGGTCCCTCCTCCCCTCCCTCTGCCTCTCCCTCTTTCCCCGTCTGCGGCTCTGACTCTGACTGGGAATGGCTAACACCATGGTCTCTGTGCACAGCTCTGAGCTCAGGCCCCTGGGCTGGAATGCCGTCACTAAACATCAGCTCTTCCTGCAGAGGGTCTCCTCCAGGTTGGGGCCCGGGGTCCGGCAGCAGGGCAGGACCGCCAGGCCAGATCGAGGACCAGCGGCACCTCCAGGCTCTGGAACGGGACCTCCAGGACAGGAGAGCTCTGAACAGGGAACCTCTGAGTACGAGGTGGGAGACGCTGATGCAAGGAACCAGAACCAGGGTGAGTCAACACGCAGCTGTGCAAGTTTCCTTCTGCCAGGCGTGTGTGAGAGCAGCAGGTTTAAATCCCGGCCAAGCGCAGAGTGTTTTCCGCTCTAACATGCATATCTGTGACTGTGTTCAGGACCGTCCTGCCGGTCTGAGTAGGTTCTGAAGTCTGAAGCCTTAAAGGATGGTTTGTGTGATTCACGCAGCATTTCCCCCTCAGGGGAAGTAAAACTGGGAGCTGGGTTTTCTCCTCTTTCTTTTCCAAAGCTGTGAATGTTTGTAAATACCAGGTTGTGGTTTCGACACGCTGCATGTGTTCCCACACGTGTTCAGTTCCAGGGTTGCTGTCTGTAATGATAGAACTGCAGCGTGTCATTTATTCCATCCATTCATGGCTTCTCCATCAGTGGCTGAAAGCAGGTCTTTGTCCTCAAAGTTCACATTCTGATGGACAATAAGCTCGTCTGTCCTTTTCCCAGATGCAGAGAGACAAACGGACCCGCCGGGAGTTACGTCCCCCTTTCTGTCCTTTTGGTGTCTGCTTTGCATGATTTTTTTTCCTGTTGTCCAGCTTAACAGCATCTTCGTTCCCCTTCAGGTTCCCCTTCCTTCCTACAGTTCAAACGACTGCATCCTCCCCTGCCTAAAATATAAAAACACATGTAGACCTTTCTGCATGAAACTGATTCAAGCCCATACCATGATACAACCTCCTAGCAGCACAGAGCCTGACTGCAGGGTTGCTAACTGTGAGCCACATGCTCCTTTTTTGCAGAACTGATCCATCTAGTCGCCAACTTTTGTTACCTTGAGGGGGGAACCAACCAAAAAAGTATACTGCCTGTGATTGGCTACTTTTTAGGAGCTTTTTTTATTCTTTAAAAGAGCAAAGATTAGCCCGACAAGGCTTTGCTAAAGTTACTAGCTGTAACCAGGAAGTAAACAGCACTGCTTCGGTGTGATTTTCCTCAGGTTGTAGCTTTATTCCAAAGGGATTTGTAATTGGTTCTGATCGTTTTGCTGGAAACTGGTCTCACTACTGGCCTGGTCCAGTTTCTGCAACCTGGTGTTCCTCTTGGTGAGAACGGGGTTGATAACCGTGTTTCTGTGCGTCAGCACAGGACAAATGTGTTGCGGTTCAGCTCTTACCTAACTGACTCCTGAGGTAACACAACCCAGCTGTTCTCCTCTGAACCAAACGGAACCAGATGTTTTCTGCTGCGGCTCTGTGTGTCTCTGAGCTGATCTAGCTGAAATTAACATGCAACCCCTCTGCTAAATTTTAAGTTTCACGCAAATCTGGAGAGATATTCTTCTGTTGTGATAGGAACAAAAGGCATCAGTGTTCTGTTCTTTACATTTGTTGCTTTTTATTTGTGACATCACTTGCCATCTACATCACATAAGCTGTGGTCTGCTGATTGTTTTATTTGTTGTTCTAATGTTCTTGGACATTACATGACTTCATGTATATTTAAGATCTACAGGAGATTTGTTCTTTTTCCAATTCTTGATTTAAAATCGGGAAAATCAGTTTAAAATCACTGTAAACAGAAAATGCACTTTAAATTGGTTGCACATATTTTTGGAAAATTACACTTACTGCAAGAAACCTAAAAAAAAAAATTGTTTTTTTACATTAATTTTAGCAAATCTAATGCAATCAATCAATGGAGAAAACCCTAAAACATGCATTTGTTACTATATCTGTTCAAATCTTTAGCTGGCTGTTCATTATTTAAGGCGAAGGTGATGAAGACCACGGTTGAGTATCTAAAGTGCCACATGTTTCAGGCTGCTGGTATAAAAGCACCGCCCACGGTGTCTGTACACCACGGCGACTTGTTCTGGAGTGAAGGTGGTACAGATCAGGAGGTGGATGAAGGGTTTAGCTGTGGTAATAAACTGTTTCTCCATCTTTTGGAGAAGAGTTGAACTAAGCACCATAATCCAGTGGTTATTTTCATAAAGATAACCGTCTGGATACCTCTGTTTGAGGTTCTAGTGAGCCTGAGGAACTCACTGAGATCCCTGGAGAAGATGGAGAATGTTTGAGCTGACTGAACAGCGGAAGACAATGGATGGGTTTCATCTTGTTCTCATACTTAGAGATCTTTTTGTTCCTCTGTACTTCTGTGTCGTTATATTTTCACATTGTTCTGTTTTTGCGTGAGTGTTTTTCTAACCTTATTATTAAAGGATGTCACAGAACAAACTGTTCCTGTTTGATTTTGAACAACTGTTCCTTATTTTTGCTGACGGGACTCAGACCCAGTAATCTTTTCCTTAGCAGCCGTACTTCCTGAACATCTCCCGCCCTCCTGTTCTGGGTGTGAAGACCAGGACGCCTTTGTGGCTCCGAGGGACTCGCACCGCCTCGGTCTTTGGAAAGAATGCATGAATCAGCCTGCAGAAATGACGAGTGACGCAGTGCTTCCTATTGCTTTCGCTGTAGAACCTCAGGCTGCAGGAGCAGCAACCGCAATTCAGACACAATCCCGTCTCCGTTGGTGTCTCAGCCCTAAATATAATTTATATTTAAGCCTCTGAAACATCTGAACTTCTCCTTTCTGATTCCATAACCATCCCAACTTTTCTTTTTTTATGTTCCCTAGAAACAATAAACTGCCGGTTAAACCCACAGTTTGGTCACATAAACAAGTCGGATCTGACAAAAACTAAAGCCACAAAAGAACAGAGGAACTCTTAAATAGTTTAAAATCACTGAAACATCCTTCTTCGGAATGTGTTTGAGTCTGAACTGCACCAATTGGTTGGAGTACAAAAAAATTAAGTTTAGTAGATAAACAGAAAAAATCTTGGAATATCCAAATGTTAGCTGGAGCATCACATCTTTATAGAAGGATGTTTTCACGCTTGGATGATGTCAGACTTGCCTGCAGCTTTTGTTGTAGTTATTTTTATAACGTCAGGCTGATTTCTTTGCTTCCTAGGTATTCCCAAACCTCGAGTATCGGGCATCGGTTTCATTCCCACTGCATCCGTTCCCAAACCAGCGACCAGTCAGCAGCCAGCAGCAGGACCATCAGGACGGCAGCCTGCACCCACCGCCTCCAAGCTTCCTGTCAAAGGATCCCCTTCCAGCCTGGGTTGCTCGTCACAGGGGAGCAACGAGAAAAATTTTGCTGTCAGCAAAGGTGAGAATCACCAGAGGTGTGGTTTCCATCCTTACTTCCTGCCTTTCTCTGGACTTCCTGCTCTTCTGTCTCCATTTGATATAAAACTAGCTGCCAAGATTTCAAACAATCAAGCTGTAGGATTAAAATAAAACTCCACTAATTATGAGAAAACTGTTTCAATATTATTGAAAAAAAAAAAAAAACACTTTTCAATAAAGGAAATTGGAAGACAATGCATTTCGAAAATTGAACTAAAAAAACTTCTCAATCAAAAAAGTTTCGAAATCCGTTTGTGTTCAACCAATACTTCTAGTTTTCAATAAAAAAAAATAAAAAAAGTTTTTTACATTTTGTTTTTATTTTCAATATTTTATTTTATTTTTTTCTCAAATTAAACATTTTCAATTTTTTTTATGTTTTATTTTTCAGTGTTTTTTCATATTTTAGTTATTTATTTATTTTTATTTGAGAGATTAATAGAGCAATAGAAATGCTATTGCTAAACAAGCTAGGTTTTAAAAGATTGCAACCTGAAAAAGAGACATCTGAATAAAATTTTATTTGAAAATGTATGAAAAAAAACAATGTATATCATTTTTTTGATGTATGAAAAACATTTAGAAGACAAAATATGAAAAAATAAAAGTTATAATAAAATGAGAAATCAGTAATTCTAATAAATCCATCTCTCTCTATCTCTCTTATGAAATTGTGGCATCAGCCTCCAGCTCAAACATTATTGAATTAAAAAGTCCAACTAACCAAATGAAATTGTGCTTTTGTTGAATTTTCATTTGCTCCCAAGTCCTCTTCCCTCCTGCGGAGTTTATCTGGAGGATGAGAAGCAGTTAATGTTCTGTGTTTGACTTTTCCTTAAGACTGTTTCCCTCTTCGTATTTCTGTAAATAGGTTTCTGTTCGTCGAAGGATAAATATGGCGCTCTCCCTTCTAAGCTCAAGATTGTGATTGGTCTGTTACCTTGAACCCGCCCCTTTATTCGTGCATGTTCACAGATTCATGATCAGTTTAAGCTAGATTGAGTTGATAACCATAATGATACTACTGGTCCAGTTTGCTAATATTGTGGATTGGTTAAACTGGATAGGCTGGAAGTCATCCCGTTAGGTTGGACTCTCTTCATGGGACAGACCTCTGCTTTACCTTTGGTTTTTATGGTGTATTAACACCTGCAACCTTTACTTTCCAGTACATGTTTATAGTTGATTTCCTCCCTTGTCCAGAATTTTTTCACAGGTCAAATAAACTATAAATAATAAACTCAGGCAGTTCGGGAGAGAAGGACTGTCTTTTTATGGTTATTATGTATGAGGAAGCAGAGATGAAGCACAGGTTTCAGTGTGAAGCAGGACATACTCAAAGGTAGTGAGACAGTGGTGAGGTGTAAGCAGGGGCGGAGCTAGATGGGGGGCCAGGGGTGGCCATGGCCTCCCTAACCCAATCAGTGGCCACCCTTACCATTTTTTCCCTCTAATACAGACTCTCAATTGGGATGTTTTAACTTATTTAAAATTTTAATTTTCGATATGTAAACTATTATCTTACAACAAAAACGCTGCGGTTAATTATGCCCATCAATATACCAACATTAAAGATAATAACACAATGCATGCTTTTTTCAGAACTAGATTTTTTCTTATATTGGTTAATGGGAAAATTATGTCTCTGCAAGTCATCTAAGGAATCTTCACTGAGATCAGAGACAAATAACTATTTTAATAACAAGTAATCCATTTAATGTGGATATTAGAACATATAAATATAAATTTTTATGCAAATTTGTTATTAATAAAAGTAGGTAAATAATGACAATGAATAAGATGTTTGCCCTAGAATAAAAAAAAAAATTTGTCCTCTGTACCTTTAATTTAGACAGCATGGATGTTTAAATATATGCGTCTATTTGTTAGCAAAGGCTGTAGGAAAGTATAGTTTGTCTTTATTTAGAAAATATGGATGTTGTGCTCGTTTCCGTTGCAACAGTGTAGATAGACCCTGAGGTTCATGTGCCTTTCGGCCACCCCTCAATGTTCATTGGTTATTGACTGGCCACCCCTATTAGGATTTTCTGGCTACGCCTCTGGGTGTAAGGTAGGCGGGGGCCACTTCGTGCTTACAGGTGTGATGGACAGGGTGACTGAGGCCAGGCAGGCATTTGGGTAAAAGTAGGGAGGAGGTGGAGTAGTGCTCTGGAGAAAAGAGTGAGTCAGAAACTGCAAACTTTTTTTTTTTTCATCGATAAACAAAAAATTAAGATCAGCTTATAAGCTTCTTCTTAACTAGCAGTTTTCACTCTCACACACCAACACACTCCTACTGGTGTGAATGAGTTGTCACGGAAACCAGACTTCTGTATGAGCCAGCTAGTTCCCATAGTGACGTTGAACCTCTGAGAGCAGCGTAGGTGTTGAACACCTCCATGCAGATATTTATCTTTGATGTTCTCACATCGGGTCAATCATGCTTTTAGATTTTCTGTTCTGGTTTTGGTTCTAGGCTTAGATTTCATTTGTTGGCAGCAACATCCCTTCTTTTTAGTCGAGATAGAAGCAGAGAAATGGGGAGGGGGGAAAAAAACGGCTTCAGGTAGAAATTACCTTGAAGAAAACAAAACGTAATCGACAATATAGGAAACTCGTTCTTTTTTTCAGAGCTGTTCTGGAAACAGTTTTTAGAATAGATTCTTTAAGCTTCCTGGACATAAACATCTCATATTATAAAGGTGCAGGGGGACTTCAATCAGCACTAGGGGTGTAAATCACACCCATCATGGCGACTCGATTCAGTATCGATTTCCTGACCCAACGATTCGATTATTTTCGATACTCAAGAATACACCACGATTCGATTCGATTAATCGATAAATTATTTTATTTTTTTTACACCTTACAGGCTAAAAAAAGTTTCAAGTTTGAAGTACATCAATGAAAGCTGTAATATCGGTATGCATTTTTTTTTTTTTTAGAAACAACAGCAAATAACAGAAGTAGAAAAGTTTCATCAAAAAATACTGCAAAAATACTGCACAAAATCAATGTAATGAGTTCAATGCAATACCTCGGCTCCAGACGTCCCGCCCCCTCCACAGACGCTCCACTGCTCCTCTCCCAAATTGTAGCTGACCGCAAACAGTGCCGCAGACAGGAGGCCGGCTTGTTTTGTTTTTATGACCGAAATTGCGGAAAACAACTCGTGAAGTTTGACCCGCTAGAAGAGCGAGGTGCGCGAGAACGCTGGGACCCTTTTTCAGCCTGGATCTCCACTCTTTTTGGCCCTTATCTCCCTCTTGTCGTCGGAATAAACTCGCCCCCACTTCCTCACCGCCTCGGCCGTATCTAGACCCACAGTGTGTAGCACAGACCACGCTTCAATATTGAGCATAATTTAAAAATGTCTGTGTCAAGCTTACTGCAACACACTGCTGTAAGAGTATAACCAGGAAGCGAGGTAGGATGGCAAAATAGGTTTAGCGGCACCGCAGCACGGGAGGGAGATTTACGCCCAGGAGCAAATGGTTAAAAATAGACCGGAGGGAAAAAAAAACATGAAAAGATTATCTTGGGGACGTGTCGATGCATCGGATCGTCGGCTGTTGGATCGATACAAAACGATTATTATTTACACCCCTAATCAGCACTACAGAGAGGAAATCAGACTGAGAGAAATGAGGATCAGACATTGAGCAAAGGTCATGAGGTCAGGAATCAAACCCCAGGTGGCTGCAGGAGGATAAACTGACTTTGATTTAGTGTCTGCATCCAACTTTACACCATGCATCACCCCTCCTTTCTTTTCCTCAATGAATCACATCACAACTTCTTTATTTTTTTAATAACTTTATTATTTATTCATTATTTGAGTCACAATCAGAGAAGATGCAGATCAATATAAGAGATTTAATGGTCGCTCAACTGTAATGTTCTGTTGGGAACTCTTCAAAGTGACACAAAAACAAACAGGACTCCCAGCTGTCACTGCCTGCTGTTTGGGAACATGAATGCTCTCATGCAGCTGCAACATCCTGTGCACTTAAATTTCTTACATCCTACAAAATGCAGAACAATCTCTCTAAATTGTAGGAGAGCTTTCCAACAGCTGTTTATGTTGTTTTCAAGGACAGCTAGGACATTATTGTTTTCTGAATAAAACCTAAAACATGTAGCAAAGGGGTCCCTGAGGAACACGATTGGGGAACCCTTGACATAAAATTATAAACTTGGATAAAGATCCTGGTTGATCCAGAAGCATCTTATCTGCAGGAATCTTTCTGTTCATTTGCTGTTTTGAATAAAGCAAATCTTAAATGTTTGAACGTCCGAAAATGGTCCCTTCTCTCCCGCAGCTCCATCTCCAACGAGGTCAAAGCCCGATGAGCTACGCAGCAGAGGCTTGCTCCAATCTAGCAGCCAGAGCACAACAAAGCCCCCAAGCTGTGGCATCTCAGGCCCCCCACTCACCAGCAGCACCAGCACTTCCAGTGACATCCCATCCAGCGCCGCTTCAAAGCCTCCAGCTGCTGGATTGAGGAGCAGAGCACCTTCTGGGCCGGCCAGGACGTCAGCTACAGGTGAATCTGCCTATAGGGTTTGGTTTTTACAACATGAGCTGAACATGTTGGCCTAAATATTTTAGAATTCTCCAATTATCTTAAAAAATTGCTCTTTGTTTCCTGGGGATTACTGAACATCCAGGTTTTAATGTGGCTCTAAAAATTGTTTTAGTGGAGCTCATCTTCATCGTACGGTGAAATGATCCAGTAGCGACGATCCTCTCAGGTTTTTCCTTTTTAAAATCAAATCTTCCTCTGGATGTAAAACTATCTCTGCAAGATTATCCGATACATCTGTGAATAACTCTGCAGGTTGGCTTCACTTATCCAGAGACCGGCAGGCTGTTTAAAAGCTTCAGCTTCTGAACTGTGAATAATCTGAGCGTTGAACCACACACTGAGGCAGTGATGGTCTGTGACGTTTCCTGCGTTCCGTCCACAGGGCTGAAGACCCCAACCGTCACCAACCAGAACACCACAAAGACGCCTGCGGGGCAACCGTCTGCCAAAACGGCTCCATCTGCATTCGTTGGGCCGACGAAGCCCCCGCCACAGAGGAACGGCTCAACCCGACCCAGTAGACTGAGCAGCACAGGTAAGACTAACGCTGGATTAATGCCATCTACTGAAAAAAGACGCTCTTTGTTATCTGAAAAACACTGTTGATGATTTATTAAAAACCTCCATCAGAGCTTCTGCAAATCTCACAGCCTTTTATAGGTTGAAGCTCTGGAAAAAAAAGATTTAAAGTTCAAAACATCAAAGTTTCAAGCCTCTGGACTTTCTTTTTCTATTAATAAGATTTACATTTTCTCTAAAATTCAATGCTTGAACTGCCCTCAGATATGTAAGGGGCATTTTTCTAGTTTTACTGATGATCTTTTATTCCAAAATCTTTATTTAACTGACAGTTATTCATCAGCTTTAAGGACAAGGCCGTCAGTACGGAAGAGGATTAGGGCCACTGAAAAAAAAAAAATACAAAAGTTAACTGATTTTAAAATTTTATTTCAGTTCAACATGGGGAAAAAAGTCAGAATTCTGACTTTAATCTCAGAATTCTGACTTTAATCTCAGAATTCTGACTTTAATCTCAGAATTCTGACTTTAATCTCAGAATTCTGACTTTTGTTATTTTCAGAATTCAGTCAGAATTCTGAGATTAAAGTCAGAATTCTGAGAAAAAAGTCAGAATTCTGAGAAAAAAGTCAGAATTCTGACTTTAATCTCAGAATTCTGACTGAATTCTGAAAATAAAAAAAGTCAGAATTCTGACTTTAATCTCAGAATTCTGACTGAATTCTGAAAATAAAAAAAGTCAGAATTCTGACTTTAATCTCAGAATTCTGACTGAATTCTGAAAATAAAAAAAGTCAGAATTCTGAGATTAAAGTCAGAATTCTGAGATTAAAGTCAGAATTGAGAAAAAAGTCAGAATTCTGACTTTTTTCCCATACTAAACTGAAATAAAATGTAAAAATCAGTTAACTTTTTTTTTTTTTTTTCCACTGGCCCTAACACTCTTCCGTACGTCAGTCACCACTTTATCCTGCAGCATTAGTTTTATTTTAACTGGGAAGAAAATTTTTCAAACTGATTAAGAAGATAAGATCTGGCGTTCGGACCAGAAACGCCTCATAGTGGTGGTCATCTCAGTGTGTGTCTGGATACACCTACATGGAATATTACTGCTGGAATTTAAAATCCTCCCAGAAAGGATGAGAAGTTCCTAAAGGGAGAAGATCAGTAAAATGTTTCAAATGAAAAAAATATTATATTTTAGTTCTGCTAGTTTGTAAAAAGCACTTTCAGGCGTCAGAGAGCAGTTTAGAGAACGGCTTTAATGGAAAATTACTGGACAGACATGGGAAACGACGTTTTCTCCATTACCACATCTGGATTTGGATCCTCAGGGATGCTGTGGTAGGGTTTGGGACGGGTAGAAGGTGGGGAATAAGAAATGGGTGCTCAAAGTCGTACAGATGTGTTTAATTTCTGACCTATATTTTTATGTTGTTACATGTTTGTTTTCTTTTTTTCTCCTGTACTGCTCAAACTAAATTTCCCCTGGTGGGATTAATGAGTCTGACCTAGGAGTATTGGATTCCTCCCAGGCTGCTCCTTTGGACCGATTCTGTCTGTGGTGTTTATGCTGATCTCTTGACGAAGACATGGAGAGGCAGATGTTTGGTTTGGGAACTTCTGGATCCCGTCTTTGCTTTTTGATGGTAATGCGGTTCTAAAGGCTTCCTTAGGCCACAATCTGCTGCGTTTTTTGAAGCTGTTTGCTGCTGCATGTGAAAAGTGCCATGATGAGAGTCCACTGCTATGATTCTGAGACCATGGTTAATGACTAGACAAAGGTGGACTGCTGCCTATAGAGTCAGTCCCCAGCTTCAGTGGGTCACTTGTTGCTTTATAGCGATTATTCAATCAGATCATCCAGACAAATTGGTTAAAACTTTTGTAAGAAAAACCAGCTGATTGCATCGAATCATTGTCTTTTCAGGATTCACGGCTCCTGGATGAGAATGTAGAGACGGTACACATTTACTTATGTTGTGTTGGTGACTGTTCAGAAATTCCTCATACTAGTAAAGAGGAAAAACTCTCTTTTGAATTGTCTCTGTAAAGTGCCTTGAAATAGCATTTGTTATAAGTTGGCGCTGTATATATAAACTGAACTGAATTGAATTTAATGTGTCAAACAGACCAAATTAAGTAAGGGGATGAACTAACATATATACACTATATTGCCAAAAGTATTTGCTCACCCATCCAAATTATTGGAATCAGGTGTTCCAATCACTTCCATGGCCACAGGTGTATAAATTCAAGCACCTAGGCATGCAGACTGTTTTTACAAACATTTGTGAAAGAATGGGTCGCTCTCAGGAGCTCAGTGAATTCCAGCGTGGAACTGTGATAGGATGCCACCTGTGCAACAAATCCAGTCGTGAAATTTCCTCGCTCCTAAATATTCCACAGTCAACTGTCAGCTGTATTATAAGAAAATGGAAGTGTTTGGGAACGACAGCAACTCAGCCACGAAGTGGTAGGCCACGTAAACTGACGGAGCGGGGTCAGCGGATGCTGACGCGCATAGTGCGAAGAGGTCGCCAACTTTCTGCAGAGTCAATCACTACAGACCTCCAAACTTCATGTGGCCTTCAGATTAGCTCAAGAACAGTGCGCAGAGAGCTTCATGGAATGGGTTTCCATGGTCGAGCAGCTGCATCCAAGCCATACATCACCAAGTGCAATGCAAAGCGTCGGATGCGGTGGTGTAAAGCACGCCGCCACTGGACTCTAGAGCAGTGGAGACGCGTTCTCTGGAGTGACGAATCGCGCTTCTCCATCTGGCAATCTGATGGACGGGTCTGGGTTTGGCGGTTGCCAGGAGAACGGTACTTGTCTGACTGCATTGTGCCAAGTGTAAAGTTTGGTGGAGGGGGGATTATGGTGTGAGGTTGTTTTTCAGGAGCTGGGCTTGGCCCCTTAGTTCCAGTGAAAGGAACTCTGAATGCTTCAGCATACCAAGACATTTTGGACAATTCCATGCTCCCAACTTTGTGGGAACAGTTTGGAGCTGGCCCCTTCCTCTTCCAACATGACTGTGCACCAGTGCACAAAGCAAGGTCCATAAAGACATGGATGACAGAGTCTGGTGTGGATGAACTTGACTGGCCTGCACAGAGTCCTGACCTCAACCCGATAGAACACCTTTGGGATGAATTAGAGCGGAGACTGAGAGCCAGGCCTTCTCGTCCAACATCAGTGTGCGACCTCACAAATGCGCTTCTGGAAGAATGGTCAAAAATTCCCATAAACACACTCCTAAACCTTGTGGACAGCCTTCCCAGAAGAGTTGAAGCTGTTCTAGCTGCAAAGGGTGGACCGACGTCATATTGAACCCTATGGATTAGGAACGGGATGTCACTTAAGCTCATATGTGAGTCAAGGCAGGTGAGCAAATACTTTTGGCAATATAGTGTAACATCAATGTTGGACAATAGAGATAGAATGATGAAAAGGGGTCCCTGTGTCCTCCAGCACTCTAACCCTATAGCAGCATAACTACTCAGGATAACCTGAGTCACTCTAACTATAAGGGTTAGTCGTCTTCATTGTTTTCTTCCTCTTCATCTCGGACCTGGTAGCAGAGGCAGGAATCTCAGCAGAGACTCCCAGACTTCCCTTTCCCTAGACACCTTCTCCAGCTCTGCTGGGGGAAGCCTGAAGTATTGATGGTAATAATCTGGGTTTGTTTCTGCAGCCCTGAGTCTCTGTGACTGAACAGCTCTGCAGGCTAGAACCACCAGCCCCGTCCTCATCGTGTCTCATCTCGTCCCGCTCTGACTCATGCTCACAGCAACAAACATCTTCCTTTGAATTTTAGCTAAACCACATTTGGATCCCAGCACCATTTACACGGTCTGGAAGTGGAACCAGTAAACACTAATTCCGCTGAGTTAATTACTGTGTTGACAGACGATGAGCAGAGCGACACAGGAATTCGGATCTTTTAGATCATGCTAAATATGAGACACCCTTTGTTAAAAATGGGCATGGACGCAAATAACGAAATGAAAATATAAATGGGAGTCTTTTCTTTTTTATTACATATAGAACTTAACATTTAAATAAATCTGTTGAGGTATTTTTTTAAGCCTGTAAACAGTGTCTGTGGAAATGATGTGGACTGGTCATGGGGAATTCTCCCCTTGCCTGGGTCTTTTTCCCTGTGGTGGGGCCCTAGCGGTTCTGTATAGACCTGTGGGGAGCCCTGACTTGCTGTCGCCCTCGTCATGGCTTCATAAGCATGTTAAAATGCACCAACAGAGGCAGCAGGACACATGCTTTTGATTGCCCATAAATATGTTACGTCCACCAAGGACACAACATATTTGAGGACACGAGACAAAAGATGAGGGTTCAAAAAAGATATTTTATTAATAAATCTTCTCCTCTTTAACTTTTCTTTGCTTGCCTTCTTCTGATTTTCTGTGAAGAGGAAAAAGAGTTAAAGGCCCTCAAATCCCGTGCCCCAAAAAGAAAAAATAGAAACCCAAAGTAACAACAGAAAGTTGGACCTGGCAGGCCGATCAAACAGAATAAAACGGTACAGCAGGGGGCCAACCCTATACAGGGCCGTCGAAGCCCCTACTAGTACCGGACTAAAGGCCAAAAATAACCTAAGCAAAATAAAAATCGAAAACAGGACAACCGGTCCCACCAGGCAAAAAACCTAAAAAAAAAAGTAAGAAACAGTTAACAAAAATACCGCATGGCAGGCTGGAACGTCCGCTGCAGGCCGCAGCGACAAGACAAGTGCGCACCGCGCACGATGGAACAAGTGGAAGCAGGTGGAAAAGCGGCGTCCAAGCGAAGTTGGAAAGGAACGCCCCAACATGCTGAAAGCCAGCCTATTTTTAGGCGGACGACAGCACCACAAATTAATGTAATTAACTCGCTAAAAGAATCCCAAAATATATTAACAAAAGATCCTTCAACTAAAGTCTGTAAGAAAACAAAGAAAAGAAAAGAAATAGACAAAAATCCTAATGTGCCCGAAGCACATAACACCCCCACCCA